ACTTCCTTGCACTGTTAATCATTTTATTTAAAAAAAAAACCATTCTTGTTAAAAAGAAATATGATTTGAAGAATAGAAGCGTTGATGATGAATAGGAGAATAGAAATAGATGGGGGTTTTTTGGCTTCTTGACTTTTGTAGGCTTTTTACTGGTCTTCATTCTTTAAAGCTGTATCTCATTTAGGAAAAAGAAAATCAAAATTGATGATGCGTGTTAACTAACAGCTCCTTTTTATTTTTATTTTTTGATAGAATACTCCATACGATTCCATGCACTAGAGTTACAAATATGTATGATGGTGTAATACAATAAAGGATAAAAGAACATGTCCAAGGCATTTACATCAATGTACATTTTGTGCACTCCGCTTCGCTGAAAACTTGTAGCTTGTGGAGACTATAAGGCTTCTCAAAATGCTTCAGTTGTTTTTGTTTGTTCTACTATTTGAACACAAACCTGCACTAAAAAACAAAGCAGTAGATGCAATGTCTCACTACTTCCTTTTAAGGTAACTCTGGCTTCTATTCCAGTGGTTTGTGAGGAATATTTGGAAACTCTAAAGAAATGAAAGTAGTGGAAGAGGATTCCTTCCTCTTCAATGTCAAGAAGATAGTTTTAGAGTGGAATCAAGCTCCTTTCTTCTCTTTGGAATGTTTCAAGGGGAGGTCAGTCTTCCCAAGAAGTTTGCTCTAATCCCGTCACTCTCTATGATACCTTCACTGTAGTATTATAGATGGGCACACAGGTGGGCTCAAGACTTACAAGCAGGTGGTAGTTGACCTTTATTGAAAGGGATGAAGAAGTCAGTGATCATGATCATTTTTTTTTTTTGAAAAGAACTGCAGAATCTGATGTAAACATCCTATGAATGGACTTTAGAAAGGGGCCATTCCAATCAGGAAGACATAGGATTGATTTGTCTTCAGAATTACTCCTTGAAACTCTCATTCAGAATTCCAGCCTATGCATGGACTTCAACTAAATAGTAAGGGAGGGGGATTAACTCTCATTCAGTCTGTTACTAGTGGGATGCTGGCCTATTTCGTTTCAGTTTCTCTGTTCTGAATTCTAGCATCCATAAGTAAAGCCTTAGAAAAATTAATGCGGTGCTTTATTTGGAAAAGGGTTGATGAAGGGAAAGGGTCTCATCTTATAAATTGGGAGTTGATGAGTAAGCCTTTTGAGAAAGGAGGGTTAGGAATTTGCAACTTGAGATTATGTAACGAAGCCTAGATGGTTATGGTGCTTCTCGAGAGAGTTAGATTCTCTATGGCACAAGATTATAGCGAAGAAGGACGGTCGACTTCCCTTTGATTGGGTTGTTGATGAGAGGTCTAAA